CATGATTAACAATATTTCATTGCTTGCTTCACAATAGTTGAGAGGATTTGGAAAACATTCCTAACACAAAGAAATGACAAAGGTCTGAGGTGATGCCTATACCAGTTACTCTGATATCACTATTACATATTGTATAATATGTATTGGAATATCATGCTCTAACCCATAAATATGTTCAATTATTATGTATCAGTGAAAAATTTTTAAAAATAAACAATTTAGGTCTTGAAAATAAAGATGGCTGCAAAACTAAAGAGCTGGAGACATACATAACACCATGCACACTCTAAGCAGAGAAATGTCACAGCCAGTAACTATCTAGAGGGATCTTCAGTAGTTTTGTAGGGAGCTTGGGGTGGGCACAAAAATCGGTGGCATCTGAGATGGGGCCTTGAAGAAAAGGATGCATTTCTGCAAAGTGTCAGTGGTAAGCAGATGTGGGGAAGTGTTGTAGTTGCATAAAACTGAAACTTGATGCTATAGATTGAGGTGAATCACAGAAAACTCCTTTATTTTTCATGTCTTTTAATGCCTCTGATTGAATCACATGAAGGCAGGTTATGTAAGGAAGAGACAAATACTATGCTAATCAACAAAATTATCTCCAAGCATCTTTGTTTTCCTCTACTTTTAGAGAAAACTTTTATTACCAAGTGCTTGTAGTTCCTTTGAACCTTCAAATTCTAGACCTACTCTTTCCAATAGGGAAGCCAGTACAAGTATGGCTAATCCAAACTGAGGTGTGCTACAGATGTATAGCACAGACTGGAGTTTGAAGAGTAAAAATAACTTGTAAATAATTTTTATACTGATTCCATGTTGAAATGATATTTTGAATATTTTTAAATATAATCAAAATTAATTTTAATGTGACTACTGGAAAATTAAAAAAATGACTTGTATGGCTTGCATTCTATTTTTATTGGATGGTGTTATTCTAAAGGTACCTATTTTTTTTTAAAAGTACTTAAAGTCTTGTCATGCATTCTAGGGTTACCTGAGGCTTAACTAGCTACATGTCAGGAATGTACTTGGTCATTCAGATGTGACTGAGGCCTGTAGCCATGGCAAGGTAATGAGCATCCTTCTGAGCTTCTGATTTTTCATCTGCATAGTGAAGACATTGGATCAGATATTCTCCATGGCCCCTTTCAATTTTAAAATTCTATGATTCTAGTTTGGAGTTGAAGCTGAGAGCCAACAATTACTAGCTTTTTCTGAGCTTCATCAAAGGATCTCTCCTATTCCCTTTACCAGGTATCAGAGAAAGTCAGGATATTTTCTTTTCTCTCTGGAGTAATAAATTCTGGAGTGGAAAGACTTCAGAGAGTTCTGGTAGATTAAGGTGACCCCCGCCCTCCCCTTTCATCGTGTGCCTCTTGGTGCCATCTGGGTTTGTGTGAGTATGCACCTGAGTGAGGTGGCTAAGGCAGCTGGTAAAATGATTCTAGTCCCAGCTTGAAGAAGGCTCAGTTCTTTACTTCATGGCCATCAAGTCTACTTTTAAATACTCCAAGTGTGGTGATTTCACAACTTTCTTTAGGCACTAACTCGTTCCATAAAAACTGAGAATCTGAGTGTCTTTCCTTTTGAATCTACCGATAGAACAAATCAGTCATTTTCCTTTTCCTGATGACTTTTAAATGTCCTTCTTTTAGCAGTTCTACATACTGCTTAACTGTGAGATCATCCAACCATTAAATAAATATACTAGATGCTGGACTAGCTTCTGGGACATGGAGATTTCAGACTTCGTTTTTATTTTAAGGGGTAGGATAAATATGGGTCTTGGTGGGTATTCAGTCTGTTATGGGTACAGTTAGGAAAAGGAGATGTTACTATGAGCAAATGTGGACAATGAACATTTATGGATAATTGTTTTTAATATTTCAAAGTGAGGCAAGGTTTCAGTTAAAAAATAATAAGTCAAATAACACATGTCCTATAAATATAGGTTGATATAATTTCATTTAATGGAATTTCAGCATCTGGTTGGAAGTTTGCTTCCATTCTCAGGATACTGCATTGCAGTATTTTGCAATTAAATTTATTTTTCTTTTGGAATAAGCACAGTGTGTTACATTTTTTAAAAATTAACAATATGGAAAGGGGGTATTAAAATGTAAATTGAACTGGTTCAAAAAATAGGGACACTTAGGAGGGGGACTATATGGCTATGACTCCTGAGTCCATTTTATTGCAAATGCTTGACTCTAAGAAATCCTTAGTAAAATCTTGACTTTTCTCTTGGAGTGCAGGGGAGAAAATGTAGATAAAGGTATTTTTTTGCTAAGCAATATTTCTTCGTTTTTGATTTGAGGTTTGTAGAAATCCTAAAGTAACGGTACTAACTGGCTCAGATTGAAATCTCAGATAACTGCATTGATTATGAGCACAGAAATAATGATAATATCTAACATTTATATACAGTGGGAAATGGTGGTTTTGTTTATTTGTGAACATATCAATTTATCTCTTGAGTGAACAGAAGATATTTTAAAGTATCATTAACTAATGCACCAATTAGAAGATATTTTATTAATAAGATTATTTTTATTATGTAGAATGTAGTCAGCTTTGTAATAAAATGACAATGATGTGCACTTTGAAAAAGGAAAACTAAACTTTTATTAATTGTATTTAATACTGGAAAGCTTAGGTTTTCATACAATAAGGACAGGATACATATGGAAGATCTCCCTGTAAATAGTTAGGAATACAGTATTCTTTGCTTATTGATGATTACTCAGTCAACCACAGTCTGAAAATATTAAATGGAACATTTCAGAAGTAAACAATTCATAAGTTTAAAATTATGTACCATTCTGAGCAGTGTTATGTAATCTATCACCATCTCACTAGGTCCATAACTCATCCTCTATCCAGCATATAACCATGCTGAATGCGCGTTGCCTACTTGTTAGTCACTTGGTAACTGTCTCGGCTTTCAGGTCAGTTGTTGTGGTATGAAGTGCATATTTTCAAGTAGCCCTTATTTTATGTAATAGTGGCCCCAAAGTTGCAAGAGTAATGATGTTAGCAGTTCAAATATGTCAAAGAGAAGCTGTGAAATGATTCCTTTAAGAGAGAAGGTGAAAGTTCTTGACTTAATAAGGGAAAAAATATCATAGACTGAGGTTAAGAGCTACAGTAGGTTATTGTTAATCCCTTACTGTAGCTTAAGCTTTATCATAGACATTATGTCTATGAGAAAACAGTATAAATAGGGGTGAGGACTGTCTATGGTTTCAGGCATCCACTGGGGTCTTGGAATGTATTCATACGAGGGAAGACTGTATCTAAAATATTTACCACAAATCAATAGCACTTCTTAAATAAAGATAATAGTAAACGAGACAATTTTATAGCAATTTAAGTCTTTTCCTAATACACAAGTGTACAAATGAGAAGAAAACAGATAGGAACATCTCTGAAGGTACTTGTTAACATGCAGGTCTTTTCATGTGATCATACATATTGGTAATTTCTGAAGGTGCAGAGAGATGCATAGAACAGCAATGGTGGCAGCAACACATGGAAGTATTGGATTTAATGATAACAGGAGCATCATGCCAATTATTGTCTGGAAAATAGCTTTCCATTAAGCAATAATGAGTTCTGAGTCTCTTTCTCTTTGATTTTCTCTCCTCTCCCCCTATGCTACCCAAGTACTATATATTTATGTAATTAAAATGTAAAAACAATTCCATGTCACTCCTTGATGTGACTAAGTTGGAAATCACTAACCTGGAATTTGTGCTGGTGCCTGATGACTAGAGGTGCCCCAGATGGCCTGTAGGGATTGTGTATGAGCACACAAATAATTTAGCTGCTGCTTACTTGGTTGTTGACAGTTCCAACAGCTGCCCATTGTCCTGCTGTAAGTAGAATTAGTTTCATTCATTACCATGCTTGTAAAATGGAAAAAGCTCATTATAAACTATAACTTTAAAATATTATCTATTTATCACTTTCTTAATTCATTTACATACTCAGTCATTCATCGATAGGTGTTCACTGATGCCTACTGCGTACAGGATATGGAGTAGGAGGGATGCAGTGTGAACATGGTGGGGGAAGGTCCTGAGCCAACATATGAGATAGACAATAAGTAAACTCACAAACAGATGTGCCAGTAGCAGATGACAGTAAGCCACAAGAAAGGCACATGCAGGGAGAAGGGAGGGAAGATGTGTGTGGGGGGTGTTTAGGTGTAAGATCTAATCAGGGTAAATATTTCTAAGAATGTCATAATTGAGGTGAGACCTGAAAGAATAAATGAATGAAACTTTTACCATGAAAATGATTTCACATAGTAAGTAGTGTGTCTAGTGGACTCAGAACTGAGGCAGTTTTGCTTTGCATGATACCATTTGTATGGAACATGAACCAATCAGTTAGCAAAGACACTAGCTGGGCCCAAAAGTGAAGCCTTGGAGAGCCTCCTGATAGGTCAGTAGTAAGCCCTTAATTGCCGGGTGTTGTTGGAGGCCTCAAGCAAGGGTCTGTGGCAAGGGCTGGGGATGTGGCTCAAGCTGTATCGCGCTCGCCTGGCATGCGTGCGGCCCGGGTTCGATCCTCAGCACCACATACCAACAAAGATGTTATGTCCGCCGAGAACTAAAAAATAAATATTAAAAAAAAGAAAGGGTTTGTGGCAAGTACACCTGCACTCAGGTCGGGGGCCATAGCCATTGATATATTGTTGTGGTGTGGAAAGACTTTCAGTTTTTATGCAAATAGTGTGGCATTTGTAACAGCTGAATATCAGCAGTGCTCATTTCTAATTTTGTGGCTAAGGTATTTGACCACCAGCAGTTATAGACTATGGTTCAAATTCTAGCCACTTCACATAGTTTAGTAGGGAAAAGTTCTAGTTTTCAAAGGAGGCAACCAGAAGATTTTATATCTGGGTCACATTTTGAAAGATTATGGAATTATTAAACTGGATGTATTCCTCCCTAGAAAGTAGCCAACTGAACTCCCTGTGTGTTTTATAGGCGGCATCACTGTCCACACCTCCCTACCAAGATTTATGATCAGACACAGAAACCATGTCTTCTCTCCGAATATACCGAGAACTACCCTGTCTACCACTCTTACCTGCCCAGAGAGTCCTTCAAGCCCCGGAAGGAGTACCAGAAGGGGTCCATACCGATGGAAGGCCTGAGCACATCAAGGTGAGGGCAAGTCATGGTGGTGTGTGAATGTACAGCACTAATGCAGTAATGTACGGTACTGATGTGTATGTTCAGGTACTAATGTAAAGCATGAGTGCACTAATGTACAATATTAACATAGAATATAGATGCTGTTATATTAATGTAGTATATCTCTGAAAGAAAATGTTGCATTTATTAGACTATGTAGTTGTTCCTAAACCCACTTTTAAAGAGAGAGAATTCTATAGAGCAGGGAGGAAGAGCATGAGGAAAAGACTAACATTATATAGAGACGAGTGGTGGGAGGGAAAGGGAGAGAGAAGGGAAACTGTATGGAAATGGAAGGAGACCCTCATTGTTACATATAATTATATATAAGAGATGGTGAGGGGAAAGGGGAAAAAAAACAAGGGAGAGCATTGAACAACAGCTGATGGGGTAGAGAGGGAAGATGGGAGGGAAGGGGAGGGGGGATAGTAGGGGATAGGAAAGATAGCAGAATACAATAGTCACTAATATGGCTTTATGGAAAAATGTGGATGTGTAACCGATGTGATTCTGCAACTTGTATTTGGGGTAAAAATGGGAGTTCATAACCCACTTGAATCAAATGTGTGAAAGATGTTATGTCATGAGTTATGTAATGTTTTGAACAACCAATAAAAAAGAGAGAGAATTCTTGCTTACTGAGGGGGTGGGGGTCAAGGGAAAGGCCAAAATGGTCTATATAATAAAGGAGGGAAGTTAAGTCAAGTAGTAAAGGGAGGGAAAGACAGGGGAGGTTGATGCAGAAAAACAAGTTTTGGGTTTCTTGAGAGGTTTCAGGTCAGTTTGGATGATGGTGGTGGTGGAAGTGAATTGATAATAGAGAAAGCATGGCCATTTTTTTCAACTATGCTGTAGATTTTGAATTGGGGTCTCCTTGAATGTTCAAGAAATATGAACAAAGAATATATTTCTTTTAAAAATACTCCTGATTTGCTCTAGTTGACTTTCAAGTTAAGATTGGATGGATCTGGGTCTGTTCAGAAGTAGAACCACATGGTGTTCAGAAGTAGAACCACAGTGTGTAGGTGTTGCAGAGGTGTCTGTATTGAGGTAGGGTCGGGGAAATGCTCAGTCTGAGCATCCTTCTACATGTTCTAAGATTCTAGCTGAGTCTTCCATTGACAATTTGACTAGTGACTGTAAGGTCAGGCAGTGGCAGAGACCAAAAGGAGGAAGATTAAAAAGGCTGCTGAACCAGTCTATATTGAGATTCCACTCCTGGGTCTAACTCTGTCAGACCCACAGAGCCAGATAAGAAGAGGGTCTGAGAAGAAACTGTGCAGGGGGCTCGACTGGACTGAAATTTTATAAAAGGGACGGCTTGGGATAGGAAAAGGGGTTTTTAGAGTCCTTTGTCCCATTGGGGTTGGTCAGGGGAGCTGGCTAATATCCAGGATTGGCCAGGAGACACTGCTGATTGACAGGCAGTTCAGTAGGTGCCTGATTGGTATTTCTTTCGTGTGCCTGGACTGCTTGATGCTTTGTTCCTAAGTCACCTTCATCAACCTAACAGTGACCTCCAGGTGGTGAGGTTCTGTAAGGTGGGGTTCTGTAAGGTGGGGACATCTTTGAGTACAGGGTTTCTCAGTTGCTGTAGATTCATCTAGAGGTGTGACTTGAGGATTGATGTCTTCTGTGCCTTCCTATTCCTTATCCCTAAAGGGCAGACTTGCTATGGTATGGAGACAATCATGTGTTAAAAGTTCCAGCACAGTGCTTGTATGTTACAGGTGCTGAGGATCTGGTGACTTCTTTTCCTTTTGTTCTCCCTTTGCCTCCTAACTTTGTGTTCTTCTAGTGCAGATTCCAGATGGCCCAGGTGAAACAACAACTTTTCCTAAGAATAGGACTAGAAATATCTTCCACTGAGATTTTGAGTTGGAGGCATTCTTATGTACTAAAAAATGTATTCTTCTAGATCTATAGAAAGTCCATGTCTGGATCAGGGGATTGAGGACCCATAAGGGGAGAACTGAAAACAAGGGATTTTTGAGCCTAGTGGCAACCGTTGGATAGGAGCAGCATGATAACGGGAGGTAGCTAAGGCCTTGTCTGAGGCTTGACCTAGATTAGGTCAACGTTAAGTATATATATTAAATAATTTGGTTTAAGCACAATGTTTCTGGGTCCTGATAAATGGAAAGAATAGCCTTTTCAAACTATATTTTACTAAGCAATATGAATCTTACAGTTTGGGCTTCATTTTTCCAAGAAAACAACTAAAGATTTTTGAAGACCATATCAAGAGAGATGAGCCGTTCCTGAGCATTGTTGTTTTTCATTTTAAGAACCGTGGGCATCACATGGTTATCTCAATAGATGCAGAAAAGGCACTTGACAAAATACAGCACCTTTTCATGTTCAAAACACTAGAAAAACTAGTGAAAGTAGGAACATATCTGAACATTGTAAAAGCTATCTATGCTAAACCCAAGGCCAACATGGTTCTAAAGGGAGAAAAATTGAAACATTCTCTGGAAAAAACTGGAACAAGACAGGATGCCCTCTTTCACCACTTCTACTCAACAAAGTCCTGGAAACTCTAGCCAGAGTTGGACAGAAGAAAGAAATGAAAGGGATACAAGTAGAAAAAGAGGAACTCAAACTATCCCTATATGCTAACAACATGATTCTATATCTAGAAGACCCCAAAAAACTCCACCAGAAAAATTCCAGAACTCATAAATGAGTTCAGCAAAGGAACAGGATATAAAATACCCCCAAATAAACTGCATTCCTATATATCCCATAAATACCCATAAATAAACTGCATTCCTATATATCAGTGATGAATTAACTGAAAGAGAAATTAGGAAAACCATCCCATTCACAATAGCCTCCAAGAAAATAAAATATTTGGGAATCAATACAACAAAAGAGGTGAAATACCTCTATAATGAAGACAACATTAAAGAAAGAAATTGAAGAATGTAGAAGATAGAAAAATCTCCCATATTCTTGGATAGGCAGAATTAATATTGTCAAAATGACCATACCAATACCCACTGGTTATTGGTGACAAGTTCTGCTTCCTCACATGTTGAAGTTTGAACATTAGAGAAACATGCTAAGGCAAGCATATAAAGCAGTGTTTATTCAAAAAGGGGTAACATAGACTTCTCCCAGGAGGGAGAAGGGGACCATAGCTGGTATCCTGGTATCCCAAGAAGCGAAGTGTTCTGCCCTTTTTACATGCCCTAGGCTTCCTTTGTTCTCCTGCCCTCTTCCCCTTATCTTTCTCCCTCCTGCATACATGACTAGGCCCAGGAATGCTGGTGGGATGGTCAAAAGGTGAGAAACTGCTAGACTGAAGGGGGAAGGGCAGGATGGTGCAGCCCAAGACACCTTAGTTAACAGATTTATAGCTCCCTATAGGTGGGGCAATTCCTGGGACAGGTTACCTTAGCAACAGGTTGGAGCAGGGTGAGGTTCTTGATAAGGGTGGAGAAAAGGCTCTAAGAAATAAACATTTCAATCCCTTAGGGCACAGTCTCCAACTTTCTGGACTCACTCAAAATTGGCCTCCTTGATCTGACCTAACCTGACTTGATTTACCTATCTATACTGACTGCCTAGCTAATTCTGGCTTCAATACTACCAAAAACACGATCCAGATTTAATGCAATTTCTGTTAAGTTTCCAGTGATGTTCTTCATAGAACTAGAAAAAGCAATGATAAAATTTATCGGGAAAAATAATAGGCCCAGAATAGCTAAAGCAATCTTCAGCAAGAAAAGTGAAGCAGGAGGCATCCCAATACCAGACCTTAGATTATACTACAGAGCTATATGGTATTGGCACCAACAGATATCAAGATCAGTGGTACAGAAGAGAAGACATGGAAAGAAATCTACATAAACACAGTTATCTCATACTAGACAGAGGTGCCATAAACATACATTAGAGAAAAGATAGCCTCTTCGCAAATGGTGCTGGGAAAACTGGAAATCTATATGTAATAAAATGAAATTAGACCCCAGTCTCTCATCCTGCACAAAACTGAACTCTAAGTGGATTAAGGACCAGAGACCCTCTGCCTAATACAAGGAAAAGTAGGCCCAAATCTCCATCGTGTCAGCTTAGGAACTGAATTCTTCAAGATTCCTAAAATGCAAGAAGTAAAATCAAGAATCAATAAATTGGATTGTATCAAACTAAAAAACTTCTTCACAGCAAATAAGAACATGAAGAGAGAGCCTACAGAATGTAAGAAAATCTTTGCCTCCTACACCTCAGATATAACATTAATTTCCAGGATATATAAAGAACTAAAAAACTTAACAAAAAAAACAAATATCAATGAATGTGCAAAGGAACAGAGCAGATACTTCATAGAAGAAGAAATATGAATGATCAACAAATATATGAAAAAATGATCAATATCACTAGCAATTAGAAAAATGCAAATTAAAACCACACTGAAATTTCATCTCACTCCTGTCAGAATAGCAGTTATCAAGAATACAAGTAACAATAAATGTTAAGGAGGATGTAGGGAAAAAGGTACTTTCATATAGTGCTTATAGGACTGCAAATTGGTGCAATCACTCTGGAAAGTAGTACAGAGATTCTTCAGAAAACTCGGAATGGAACCACCATTTGACCCAGTTTCTCCGCATATACCCAAAGGACAAAATCAGCATACTCTAGTGATGCGGTCACATCAATGTTCATAGCTGCTCAATTCACCACAATCTATGGAAACAACATAGATGCCTGCCCTTCAATAATAGATAGATAAAGAAAATGTGATATATATAAACAATGGAATATTACTCATCCTTAAAGAAGAATGAAAATGGATAGAACTGGAGCTCTTATGCTAAGTGAAATAAGCCAATCCCAAAAAACCAAAGGCTGAATATTCTCCGTGATGTGCAGATGCTGAGTCACAATAAGGGTGTGTGTGTGGGGGGAGTTGAGGTTCACTGGTTTGGACAGAGGGGAATTGGGGAAGGGAGAGGGTTGGG